GGTTGAGGCTGCGGTGGCCGTGAGCACGCCACTGCCCTCCAGCCTGGGCGACAGAATAAAACTCCAACTCATAAATAAGTAAATAAATAAATAAATAAATAATAAGAATCATAACTATCCAGCCATTAAAAGGAATGAAAACATGTCTTTTGCAGCAAAATACATGGAACTAGAAGACATTATTCTAACTGAAATAACTCAGGAACAATCACATACTTCATGCTCTCACCTACAAGGAGAAGCTAGACAATGGTACTCATGGACATACAGAGTGGAATAATAGACACTGGAGACTCCAAAAAGTGGAAAGTGGGAGAGGGTTGACAGTTGTCACTCTTTGGGTGATGAGTACACTAAAAGCCCAGACTGTACCACTACGTAATAGATGCATGTAAGAAACCTGTACTTGTACTCTCTAAATACATGAAAATAAAAAATTTAAAAGCCAAAGATCATAGTTTAATTTGTCTTTATAGTTTAATTTTTATTCTATAACCCACCGAGACCAGGCATGTTGGCTCAGCCCTGTAATCCTAGTACTTTGGAAGGCCAAGGGAGAAGGATTGCTTGAGCTGGGAGTTTGAGACCAGCCTAGACAACATAGTGAGACCTTGTCTCTACAAAAAAAAAAAAAATCAAAAAATAAAACTAGTTTGGCATGGTGGTGTGTATCCAGAGTCCCAGGTAGGCAGGAAACTTAGGCGAAATGATCACCTGAACCCAGGAGGTCGAGGCTGTGGTGAACCATGATCTTGCTACTGTACTCCAGACTGGGTGACAGAGTGAGACTCCAGCTCCCAAAATAAATCAAAATAAAAACATATAACACACCAAACTACATTTACCATGGAAGACCATCATTAGTGTTCAGGGCCTTATTCTTTGAGGAGAGGAACATATAAAGACCTGGCTTGAGGACTCTGAGGACACCTCTTAATAGCAGACTGACCTAGTCTAGACTCTTCTAGACTGGCCAAAGTTTGTAATGTGATTTCCAGGATGAAGCTGTCACAGACGTTTGTAACTTTTAAACCAGCCGGTATTTGAGGCCCAGCCTATGCAGGCTAACAGGGGACCCAGCATCAGTCCCTTCAGAATTAGTCACTGGGGACCTATTATTCATTTCAAAACCTGTGGCACAATCAACAGATTCTTGCATTACCGCAGGGCCCTTCTTCAAAACAGAAATCTATTCTAGGACCCGGGATCAGCTTACATAGACAGGTACTAATCTCAGCAATAATTCACTCTGTGATTCATGCTTTGTTTCTCACTCCACCTTATGGTAAACTCGGGAGGCCATGGAACAAAGAGGTCAGCTCCATAATCAGATGCCATACTTAGCACAATTGCTTCTTTCTCTTATTGCCATAGAAAGTGACCCCCACAAGCCCATTTTTTAAAATAAATAGCTAGAGCAATCCCAAACTTCACTGTTTACTAGGCTGAGGAAAACACATTCAAACAAATAAGCTTGTTTACTGAGATGCATGTGACAGTCTCTTTCAGCCAGACAGTCATTTATAAGAGAGTTCTGTAGGTACTGTGCAGAAGAACTGAGGGCAGAAAGAGATAAAATTGATTTGTTGAGTGACCACAGTGGCCCAGGCACCAAGACGGGTTTGGGGGACAGGACAGATTAAGATAAAAATGGTCCCTCCCTAGGCCGGGTGCAGTGGTTCATGTCTGTAATCCCAGCACTTTGGAAGGTGGAGGCAAGAGGATTGCCTGAGCCTGGGGGTTCAAGACCAGCTTGGGCAACTTGGTGAGATCCTGTCTCTATAATAATTCAAAAAATTAGCCCGGTGTGGTGGCACACATCTGTGGTTCAAGCTACTTGGGAAGCTGAGGCAGAAGGATCACCTAAACCCAGCAGGTCAAGGCTGCAGTGGCTGTGAGTGTGCCACTGCACTCCAGCCTGGGCGCCTCCAACTCAAAAAAAAAAAAAAGGTGCCTCCCCTCAGAGAACTCCTAGATCAGCTAGAAACAAGTTGATTGATGGACTAAGGAGTTGTGACAAGTGCTCTGAGAGAAGGGAGTTATGGAAGTACACAGGAGGAAAAATGAACTTAATCCGGTGAACAAGGAAATCCTCCCACAGAAAATAGCATTTAAGCAAAGATCTAAAGATGCATTGGAGTAGGAAATGACAGGAAAGGCACTAGGAAAAGAAAAGTACATATACAAAGGTCTAGAAGCAAAAGAAAATGCAATGGTTTGGAAAAATGAGGAAAAACATCCAGTTTTTCTGCATTATATTATGAGGAAAATGGGGGAGGAGAGAGTTGGGTGAGATAGGGCTGGAATACAGAGCTGGGGCTGGACTGTAAAGAGTAAATGCAGACCAAGTGGTATTGTAAAGAGTAAAGGTCCTGTATAAGCACTGCACACTAACTGATTGCGCCACTGGTGACCTTGAACAATTATAATGCTATAAGAAAGTGATTGACAGTAGTGGAAAACTGTCACGGGAGGGGGGATGGGACTGGCAGTTGAGGGAAACTGCTAGGGGAGGGAGGGGCATACCTCATCAACAAGGGTACCTACATGATCAATGTCTGTATACCTAACCCTGAATTGTACCCCACATCTTTATAATAAATAAATAAAATTTTTTAAAAAGAGTAAATGTCCTGTAAAGAGTAAATGCAGGTCAGCCGTGAGGATAATAAAAAGGGAGAAGGAAAGTCAAGGGTAGGAGACCAGTTAGAAGTCAGCTTAAGGAGAAAGATGAGAGAACTAGACTGCCTGAACTAAAGGACAGGCAGTAGGAAAGAAAGAGAAATGGAAGGACTGGGGAGAGATTTAGGAGGCAGAACATACGGGATTTCCTTCCTCCCATGGGTGAGTAATACCTGAGCTTCCTCCGTTCCACAAAGATGTAAGTGAAGAGGAAACTATTCTGGCAGAGGTTTCAAATCACATGAAGTGTTTCTGAAGTGGCATGGTATCACATGATACCTTCTGCTTTGTTTGAGAGGGATGGCAAGTCAATTTCTGCTTCAGGTGGCCAATCACCACAAAGAAAATGAAACAAGACAAATTTAAAATAATGTATACTACCGTAGCAGCATTATTCAACATCGCCACAAGGAAGAAGCAACCCAAGTGTCCATGAATGAATGACTGGATAAAAAAATGTGGTGCATACATACAATGGAATATTATTCAACCTTAAAAAGGAAGAAGGCCAGGCGCAGTGGCTCAGCGTGTAATCCCAGCACTTTGGGAGGCTGAGGCGAGAGGATTGCCTGAGCCCAGGGGTTTGAGACCAGCCTGGGCAAACTGGTGAGACCTCATCTCTATAATAAATCAAAAAATAAGGTAGGTGTGATACCATGCGCCTGTAGTTCCAGCTACTTGGAAGGCTGAGGCGGAAGGATTGCCTAAGCCCAGCAGGTTGAGGTTGCGTTGGCTATTAGCGTGCCAACCTGGGAGACAGAGTGAGACTCCAACTCAAAACACGGAACTTCTGACACATGCTACAACTGGATGAAACTTGAGGACATTATACAAAGTGAAATAAGCCAGTCACGAAAGAACACTGCCTGATTTATTCCAGTTATATGAGGTACCTGGGTAGTGGAATTCATCAAGACGGAAAGTAGAATGATAGTTGCCTGGGTCTGCAGGGAGGGAAGAAAGAGTTGTTTAATGGGTACAGAGTTTCAGTCTAGTAAGATGAAAAAGTTCTGGAGATGGATGGTGATGTTGGTAGCACAACAATGTGAATATGTACACACAACCAATGAAGTGTACACTTAAAAAGGATTAAGATGGTAAACTTTATGTTATGTGTATGTTACCACCATTTTTTAAATTTAAAAATATTAAAAAGATAGTGGTTGCCATCCCTGGTACTCTCCACTCTGGAATGTTTGAATTTATTTCAAACCAATGATTAATTAACTTTGATTTTTAGAAATACTTTTATCCAACTGTAAAGGTAATACATTTTCCATGTAAAAACAAAGAAATGTTGTTAAAGAATAATTTTTAGTAAAAAAATGTAAAAACCATGACTTACACAAGTATAAAATAAACATGTGTCAAAGATGTTATTTAACTCATCATTGAATAAATAAACCTGTATGATGTTCAAACCAGAGAAGCCAGGAATGTGCCTGTAGTCCCAGTTACTCTGGAGGCTGAGGCAGGAGGCTCGCTTGAGCCCTGGAGTTTGAGATTAGCCAGGCAACATGGCAAATCCACCCCCATCCCCAACTCTTCTAAAAAAAAATATTGTTTTAAAAAAGAAAAGAAAATGCAAAGAACAATAGAAAATACATATGGAGGCAACAAGGAAAACCAAAATAAATTCACAAACCAGTGGCAAACTGCTCAGTATCCACTGGGCAATAATCGTTCCATGGGACAAACCCATCTGCATTTCTATGAACAAAAGTTATTTGCAGTTGCACGTTTTCTTGAGTTATAAAACAGCCCAAAGAGGGTGAAAGGTCACAGAACCCTCTAAAATTAGATAAACTTGCAAAGTGCGCCGAACAGAACACCCAGGAACAAACCCCTCCCCCCCTCACGCGCGCACTTTTGTTTTGTCTCGAAAGTCTTTCATGGTCCGGGTGCGGTGACTCAAGCCTGTAATCCCAGCACTTTGGGAGGCCGAGGCGAGAGGATTGCCTGAGTCCAGGGGTTCGAGACCAGCCTGGACAACTTGGTGAGACCTCGTCTCTACCAAAAAAAAAAAAAAAGTCGGGCATGGAGGCGCGTCCCTGTAGTTCCAGCTACTTGGAGGGCAGAGGTGGAAAGATAGCCTGAGCCCAGCAGGTCGAGGCTGCGGCGGTCGTGAGCGTACCACTGTACTCCAGCCTGGGCGACAGAGTGAGACTCCGACTCCAAAGAAAAAAAGAAAGAAAGAAAATCTTTTGCGAGGCTGAAACAAAGAAAACAATCTTCTTGTAGCCAGAAACACACTTGATTCTTCTGAGTCAATTTCACCCGGCGTGGGCAGACTTTATTAAGCAAATGAAGCAAGGTTTATGAAACACGTGCAGCCTTTGGGACTCGCTCCCGGCCAGGTGGGCTCCTGCACGCCCGCCCGGCTCACCTGCAGCCCCGCGGAGCGCTCGGCGCCGCCCACGCCGCTGCGAGGGGCAGCAAACTGCAGAGCTGGACTAGACACGGCCGTCGGGGACCCGCTGGGAGTCGAGGGAGAAGCTACAATCCGCAGGGTCGATGGGCAGGAAAGGGAGAGAAACTCTGGGCACCGAAACCCGCCGAGCTGCAGGAAAG